TGACTTAAGCAACCTTTCAGGATCCCAGCCCTCGTGCAACCTTTGGGTGGCATGGTAGTTCGGCATCATCATCATCATAGTCAGCTGTAGGAACCGCATACTTGTCTTTCAGTGGTTGTAGCTGTCACATTCGTTCACCGATGATTTGGGGAGGTGAGTTAGATAACTGTGCATCTACCCCGACTAGGCACCAAAAGGGTTCAGCTACAGCTGAACGGATATCTATCCTCGCAAAAAGACAAAAACACTTCACTTCTGTCATTCCAGTTAACATCTTCGTGTTTGTAGGCTTTGTTCTGTCTTTTCCTGTGAGACCTCGTTGAATCGGAATAAGGATGTACCGAACGGGAAGATGCATCTTCGCATTCAGTGGGGAGGCATCACGTGCCCGTGTTTCAAATTCATGGGATTATAGGTTTAGGTTTCGGACGGACTGCGGTATGGTCTCACTCCGTAAGTATATTCATTCGCAAATCATATTTCGCACCTAATCTTATCGGCTTTGCCTGTAGGCTCCCGTTCATGGGATTATAGGTTTAGGTTTTCGTCGGACTGCGGTATGGTCTCACTCCGTAAGTATATTCATTCGCAAATCATATTTCGCACCTAATCTTATCGGCTTTGCCTGGTGTTAGGCTCCCGTGGCCATAAACCAGCCTTCATAGATATGACCATATGCAGTTCCCCATCGACTTTGGAACCACGTAACATGATTGCGGTACTATCACCAAATTTCCATTCAGCCGGGTGCCATTTTGAGCGCTTTCGTGATTTTTCGTGGGCACCAAGTGTTCACTAGGTTTCTAGTCGACGTAGACATTGTATAGATGTCTCATCTATGATAGTGTCCACTGGCACAGAATTCTGGATGTTAAAATCAATTTGTTTGATGTTGAACACCACTCCCCTTCCATGCTACCTGTTATTTAGGTTCTCCCTACGGCAGTTGCCCAGCCCTGCTGCGGTTGCGTCCATCACTTTTCAAGAACCCTCGGACGATCCACGTTTCTGTTGCTACCTGTGGGTCGGTTGGCAGTCGAGGATAATGGACAAGGTGAATGAAGACAGCACACAACCGGAAGACCCCAAGTCTGTGTACAACAAGTACGATTCGAAAGTGGTTGCGCCACTCCCATTAATTTCCGCATATTCCTCCTGTTTTCGGGTCCATGAGTTCCCTCTGTTTGTCAGTAGTATACCTCCACTTCATAGCTTTTTGTCACCAATCAGGGGAATGGAACTAAGTTACTGTCAGTAACCACACCTTTTACCACTGGGTCGGAAGCCAATCGGTTCGAAACGTCAGTGGAAACCCCACCGATGTCGGGTGGGACGTTTGTCGTGAGGCATCTATGATAAAGCGTACATGCCACCCCTTGGTCTTCATACTAGGATGTATCTGTTGCGCTTCGCCCACGTTTTTGTTATTGTGTTTCTTAATTCCCACCTGCTTCGTATGCATAAAAATCGCTCAGCTGACCCTTCCAATCACTCTGTCACGATTTCTCGAATGCCAGCTTTCTTGTCTCAAGTTGGGATTTTGAAGAGACGTTTACCGGGTGCCATCTGCTTGCACAGATCCAATCCCTCGGCTATACTACTCAGCTTGAACCCGTAAAGTTGCCAGAACTGGTGAATGCAGCGCCACCCCTGTGCAATTTCTCGGAACATAGACGAAAACATAATACTATGGGTTGGATTGATTCGCGTGCACCGTCTCTGATTGGAGTATTGAACAGGTTTGATAAGATCACGGTATCAACTTTGGAGCGGCTAAAGTCCCAGAAAAAACTGCTACGGCTGATGTTTTCGGGCTCGGTTACTTTTAGCAGTCACGCTACATCGGTAGTCTACTAGCTCGTGATCAGCGCGACCTGGAGTACGCTAAGAAACAAAAAGCTAAGCCTCGATAAGAAAACACTGAACAGCAAGTATTCACCGCTTACAGGGTACTGGAATTGGGGTGGCATTAGCTTCCTCTCAGCTGACCTTGGCCCATCATCCTTTCAGGCCTTACCCTACAGTGACAAGCATTGGTCAACGGGGATAATCAGGTAACCAGATGAGCCCATACAGACGTTCATGTCCCAAAAGGTGTTCGTCACGATTCTTCGTTTTAGGAGCCATATTTCTGGCTATTTCCCTCCATATTGTTCTTTGAGTACGCTCTGGCATCACAAACTATGTTCCATACGGTTGCAATCGATAGTGCCCGTGCCTATAGGCGAGTGATCTCGAATGTCCTGCTTTGAAACTACAGTCTTTCATGAAATCCGTAGCCTTTCAACAGTGTTTGCCAAGTTCTTTTTCCACCTCTTTATTGGTTTATTTATTTACTAATCCATTCTATTGTTTTGTTCTGTTCTTTCTTAGTGCGCAAGCAAAACTCTATCAACTGTTTTATCGACATCGTCATGAAGATCCCACCAGTGTACCCGGCGATCCAACGTACCGGTACCAGGTTAGTTGTCCTCAGTGTGGCTATCTGTGTATGGGTGATACGTTTCATTGGGTGCAAGGTCACGCTTCATGAATTTCGAGTGCTCACTACTAATGATCATATAAACCGGAATGAATACTATGCGGCTCCCCATTTTAGATTCTCGATCAGGGCTTGGAGCTAGCATAACTACCCTTCACAAACACTTGTAGGACGCCTCACTCGAGTAATAACAGAGGCATAATTGGGTTGGGTTGTGCATCCTTTGGCTGTCTAACAACCACATTCGATGGGCTCAAAGTCACCGTAAGCCGGTTTTTCACCTCTTCTGCATCCCTTATGTGCTTTGGGGATGAAATGGCTCGAGTGGTTATAGCGCGAATTTACTGACCCGAAAGTCCGTGGTTCGAACCCGACCTCTGCCTCTCGACTGCTCCTGTCTAGGCTTGGGCAAGCTGACAGTATCCCAGCCCTCGTGCTCCGTTTGGGTGGCATTTCAGCTAGCCACCGAAAGGGTGTTACAGCTGAATGATTATCTTATCTATGTGTTTTAACTTGACATCCGTAGACTGGCATCCACACGGGAACCAACCAACCACCCACCCACCATCCCATATCCTGACTGAAATGCACTTGACTTATTTCCCTCTACTTGATGTCAAAGTGATATGCATGAGCTACTCGTCTTGTGGAAGTAGTGGATAGGTTGACGACTCGACTCGTCCTCACTTTTTCGTGCACCTTCGGGCTTTGCTGTTTCACTGTCTTTCAACTAATCTTCTTTCAGGAGCTGATCGGTCTATCAGAGAGGCTTTCGACCTTGCTGTTCACATCGAATGTGATCCCCGATCCGTTTCCAGACCAGCTGTTAACCATTCAACCGATCCGAACAGCACACAACGAAAGTAATTCCGGACCTTACGCCGCACATCTGGTCGCTCTCGTATGGCGCATCAACGCTTCGACGATTCGTATCGGGTTATTTGATCTGGATCGATGGTATCATGCGCAACTGCCGACATACATCCGGTGAGCCATTTGGTGACCAATTTTGCCATGTTTTTATGCCATATTTACAACTACAGTCATTCGGGACACCCAACAACCTGTCATGAACTTTTGACAATGCTTCCTAATAGAGTACTCGAGTACTTGAGTACTAAAGTATTCATGAATGACTTATTTTAAAGGGGGCCGTACGCAGATGTGTAGACTATTAAGGCGGAGTTGTCATTAGATTTGTTTCGCAATAAAAGTTCTAAAAATAGACACTCTTGTGGCTTGAATGGCTTGAGATAGCTCTAGGATTCTAGCACCGAGCGCTTCTGTTTAGCTACGCGTATACGCAAGCTCATACTCTGCTCACCCTAAGGGATTCGATCTATCAGAGGCCTTTCCGCTTGCCAATTTGGCGAGTGACCATGTCACCAGTGTTGGATACCGTAACGTTCGTGGTTCGAACTCAACATTTGCATCTCAACTGCTCCTGTTTAGGCTTGGACAACCTGAGAGTATGTCCACCCTCGTGCTTCCTTCGGGTGGCATGGCAGCTAGGTACCGGAAGGGTGTGTTACAGCTGAACAATTTTTCCCTGATAGTTAAGTTTTATGGCAGACAGCTGGGTTCCAGGTGAGTCTCTCGAAAAAAACCAAATTAGTTTGCAAATGAGTGTATATTCGCTAAGTTCGTGCAATTCGGTTTCAAGTAGAACATAAGGTTGACGGAAACCCGGGGGCTGCGCCTACCTGATGAGCCCCAAAAAGAGCGAAACCGGTTGTGGGCTGTCGACGGATTTTCAGCAACCTTATGATTAGTACATTAGTACATTCGCAGCTGAGCCGCAATGGTAGCTTTTTCAAACTGTTTTCATATGGTGTCTATTTTTTTCAGATCGGACAACTCTTTTTTCGCCGTATTCGATGCTTCGGTTCCAAGGGACGGTGTCACACTACTCGTAAGTCTGTCGCTCTTTCGACACATACATGATCATTTGACCGTACAACTTCATTGTATTCGGGCATGCCATTCATCCCCTTCAAGTTGCTGTTTCACCTCGGATGCCAGATGCGTTTTTCAAGTCAATACAGTGTAGCTGATCACACCAATGCCAAATCGATTCGGACTCCTACCCGACATGTAGTTTTTACTGATGTGTTCTTTTGTAGCAGAACGGTGATGGTTGTAAGCAGACTGGTGACTGTTTATCTCATCTAACGACCGTTTTTTCATCTCGCCGGAATAGTGCTGAGGTTTTTGCAGTGAAGTGTGTACAGCTCACTCGACATTTGCCTAATTGTGTGACTGTTTGTAATTTTCACCCACGTTCTTCTCTGCATCTGGTCATTCCTACCTTCCGTCGCCTAATTGTGTGACTGTTTGTAATTTTCACCCACGTTCTTCTCTGCATCTGGTCATTCCTTACCTTCCGTCAGCAACTAGCCGGTAAGTGGTTTTCAGTATCCTGTATACCGGTGGTGCCAACGGGTGTATACACACCGCCTGACTGCACTGAATCCCTTGATTAGGGAATCCCAGTCAAGAGAGTGATGACGAGCTCCTTCAATGCCTCAGTACAGTCCGAGTTGGGGGTCTACGTGTTCCTCGACTTGGCCTGGTTTCTTTGTATTCTTTTCGGAATACCTCCAAGAGATCTGCCGCTCACTTAGCCTCTGCTGCGCAAGTCCTACCTACTTCCATCTTGTGAATTAGGCGTTCTCGTTGGTATCAGGTACAAGATCGGATGTCCTGGTTGACGGGCCGACGTAAGATGGATTGGGACTCTGGACAAGATACTGCTTATGGGCAGATTTGCAAATCGGTTGGTTTACTTTCTCCATCCAAGGACGTATAGACTGTAAACTCTTAGCAGCGGGTGAGATGGCTCAAGTGGTTAGAGCGTGGATTTACTGACCGAAAGGTCCGTGGTTCGAACCCGACCTCCCCTGTCTAGGCTTGGGCAACCTGGCAGTATCCCAGCCCTTGTGCTTCCTTCGGGTGACGTGACAGTTAGGCACCGAAAGCCTGCTACAGCTGAACGATTTTTTTTACGGGGGAATACAAACTCCTTCCTTTGGTCTGCTGCTTCGCAGGTTGGAGTTCTGTTCCTCACCAGGTAGAGTGAATTTCTTTGTTCGGACTAGGCAACCGGGAAGTTACCCACTTTCACAACTACGTGAAATACAGCGCCACATTCCCTGCCTTGGTGCTTGACGGGGTTGGGTGCGCTCAGAATACTCTCTGAGCGCACTCTTCTTGCTCTATCTATTCCGTGGAAACCGTTCCCAAAAGCCCTTACGACAACCAGTGAGCCTGAGTCCGCGCTCTCGTTCATTGTGGCTACTCTCGACAGATTAGTCTTCCACAGCCACGTTAACAAGTGGAAACAACTTGGAAAATCTCAAACACTGACGTCCAGTGTGTTCCACAGACGTGTGTGTTTCACAAACCTAATACCCAGTCCTACGCCCATCGGTACGTAAGGCCGCTTACGTGAAATTAGCCTGAAACAACCCAACACCAGTCAAGCAATATGAGAAGGAACTGACTGGATTCTCGAGTCCCCAGAGTAAGTGGCTAAGGTGTTCCGCCTGGATAGATTAACTCGATAGTCGAGACTGGGAGGCGAGATGGCTAAGTGGTTAGAGCGCGAATTTACTGACCGGAAGGTCCGTGGTTCGAACTCGACCTCCCCTGTCTAGGCTCGGGCAACCTGGTAGTATCCCGGCCCTCGTTCAACCTTCGGGTGGCATGGCAGCTAGGCACCGAAAGGGTGCTACAGCTGAACAATTTTTATTTTTTTACAGCTGAACGATATATATACATATATATGTACAGTCGTGAAGTAGTTTGCTTGGTGGATTTTTGTCTCAAACAGAACTTTGTTTTCACTTTTCAGAATGGCCAGTTACTTTCCTCAAGTTTAACGTCGTTTTGGAGCAAGATTGCCTCTCGTGAACGTCAGCTCACCTCTGTGTGGGAACCTACGGGGACAGTGAACACTACCAAACATCCGAGCCATCATTCGCTCTACGGTGCCACAATGGCTAACCCCGTCCCGGAAGTTTGTCTTCGTCCATCTGCGTTGTCATTTGATTTTCTCGTCGGTTGGTGTCTCCAACCAGACAAACCCAGCCCAGGCGGTCTCGCCCTAGTCCAGTTCACATCTAGACAAGAGGCCTGCCTGATGTTGCTCTCAAAGCACTTATCCAGTACAAGTACAACTGGGCTGTCTCATGGACGTTTTGAAATCAATGATTGGCTGTCCGAAGCATGGGTGACCGGTTTGTTGGAAGCTCCTGGATTGGACCCATTGGATGACGAGGATCTAGAGCGCCTACTCAGATTGTCCAACGAGTTGACCGACCTCAGCGAGTACCGGAAACAGCGATCTACTGAGGCTTCACGTGTCGGGTTTCGGTTGACCTATGGTGATGACTTGCAGGCAGATATGTTGCAAGAATTGGATATTTTGTTGCGAAACGAATCCATCTCTACGGAAGCTGCCACGGGTCGTCCAGCCAAGCGCCAAAAGACACTGTCTAGCTCGAATCCGGCCCCAAGTTCGCACGCTGATCTTTCCAGTTCAACAGCTTTGCCATCCACGGTGGTGCTCAGCCCGGCCTGGGTATTACTGGCCAACTGTTTACTTGAGCACGGGCATTTGGTCGGACTAAAGGTGAGTCGTCTGATTTTGGTGTGCCTGATGACCACGTCCACTCGACTTTGCTATAAACCACACTAGTAGTGTACACTCATTTGCAAACTAATTTGTTTTTTTTCTCGAGAGAACCCAGCTGAATCTCTCGTTTATGATGTTCTCAGGCAACTGAATGTGCTGCACCAGGCCGCCTCATGTTTCAGTCGCTACGATATTTGAAATATCGCGATACATGTATATTTGTAATGTACTACTCATAAGGTTGCTGAAAATCCATCGACAGCCCACGACCGGTTTCGCCCTTTTTGGGGCTCATCAGGTAGGCGCAGTCCCCGGGTTTCCGTCAACCTTATGTTCTACTTGCAACCAAATTGCACGAACTTAGCGAATATACACTCATTTGCAAACTAATTTGGTTTTTTTCGAGAGACTCACCTGGAACCCAGCTGAATCTCTCGTTTATGATGTTCTCAGGCCCCAAAAAGGGGAAACCGGTTGTGGGCTGTCGACGGATTTTCAGCAACCTTATGAGTAGTACATTACAAAGACACACCAGTAGTAGTTCCATTCAACAATGACATGGTGAGTTGGGAGGTGGCGATGTCTACTGTACCACGCTGATACATATGGAAGCAATTCCTTTCATACAGTCTGCTAGTGATGTAGATTTTCATGCCACCGCGAATCGACCCAGCATCAGAACAACAGTGGTGCAGCGCCTATGGTCTCATTACCATAGATTGACTTGGCCAGTGCTACATCGTTTGTTTCGTATGGCACCCATCGCGTCGTTAGATGAAGCTAATGTCAAACACTTTTTGAAGCAAACGCATCACTCTTTAAAGGATGATCTCAGCAGTCCTAGCTCGAGCTAATGACCAGGATGTTCGTGATCGGAGCCCACCCCACCTCTAGTTCTGTATAAGTTTGGATGGCCTTGCTCAGTTGTCATACTCCCTTTCTGAATGGATGATAAAAGCGCACTTTAAGAGTGCCTCATTTGAACAAAGAAGGCCCATTTCGTCTTCCAGGAACGTAAAGAGGTACAGATTGGAGTGACTCACGAGTAACCCCAGTGCGTTCACACCTCTTGCACTGTAGGCGGCATCATTAATCAATGCGAAATTATAATTACTGTCCGCAACTGCTAAAAGGACCTTGCTGTCTTCTCATAGGAAAGGTGAATCTCCTGTTTGGGCCTTTTTTGTAAAATGTGCGAACCCGTTCAGTGACCTTGCTTTCACTTTCTTCCAGTCTTTGGATCAGCTTGCAGCTGGATGTGGTCCGTGTACACCATGTAGTCCCCAATTTCGACGAGTCTGGTTATGGCTCCGTTTTCGAAGACTCAAAGCCCGTTTCGATCGACAAACAGTTCCGCTGTTTGCCGCTCAGACCAGTAATCTGTCTGGGTCGTTGTCCGTTGTGGATTTCACTGAGCTCGGTTTCACAAGTGGTCAGGTGCGTTTCAGTGCTGATTTTTTTTACTGCTTTCGTGTTATTTTTCACTGCCCAATGGGATGGTTTTCCAAGACGAATTTTGTTCCACCGAGATTCCTCCTAGAGGAAAATAGGGAGCTGCCTTGCTGTTGAACTGCCAGATGCCTCGAGCGCGAGTTTAGTAACCGGAAGGTCAGTGGTTCGAGTTTGACCTCTGCCTCTCGACTTCCCCTGTATAGACTTGAACAACCTGGGAGTATCCCAGCCCTTGCGCTTCCTTCGGGCGGCATGGCAACTTGGCACCGAAAAGGTGTTACACTCCACTCGATATGTCGTTCTGGTTATCAAGGCTCGACCTGTTGATTTTAAATTCCATTGTGGTTTGCTGACTCAACTCAAGCATTCTGGCAGTACCTCATAGTTCTGACCTCCCTCTAGTCGCTTGCCAGCCCTGGCAGTGAGAGGAGGTTATGACTAGCCAGCTGGCTGTTTTAACCAGATTTTGTGGCTTTGTGGAAATCAAATCTCTCTCAGGGGAGCTTTATTAATGGATCACTGTTCTCAAAAGTTAGATGCATCGGTCGCATGGTTCAAACCCTAGCGTGCAGCGTGAAATGATTTGAAACTTCATTCTACGTCAGCGAAAGCATCTTCATGCTTTGGTTTTTCGAAAGACTCACCGGGAACCCAGCTGAATCTCTCGTTCGTGATGTTCTCAGACATAAGGTTGAAGGAGACCCGGGGACTGCGCCTACTTGATGAGCCCCAAGAAGGGCGAAACCGGTCGTGAGCTGTCGACGGATTTTCAACAACCTTATGAGTAGTACGTTACAAAGATATACATTTTCATGCTTGTTTTTGCTAGAGCACCAGGCCGGTAGATCTCGCCCAGGAGTTTAGCAGTCCATGAAGGCAGCCGCTGGAGGATCGGGACCGGTTCTTTCAATTTTTATTCTGCAATCTTTTTGTGAGCCACCCGAGTATGGTAGTTCCTCACGATCCTCAGAGATTCCTCATGGTGTATGGCTCGGAAAACTTTGGAAAGCTTTTTTTAAATTCTGTCAGCTTGGACGTATACGAGGTCAAGTTAGTTGCGCTGCGTTCAGTACGGAACTCTTTCATCTGCAGTGAGGACCTTCCCTGTCTCTCTGCCGCTCATATGAGCTGCCAGCCCTCTTTCAGAAAACGTCATTTATGACGAACCAGTCACAATACAAGTGATTAAAAACTTTCGGAGATCGATCGTCTCTCTGGATTCTGTTTCACCTAGATTTGCATGAGACGCTGAGGACTGAAAGAAACTCAAGTTGTGGGACAATATCATTTCTGTCATCCTGGCCACATGACGCTACATGCTGAAAACCCGAGTGTGCAAATGAAATAATTCTAATGACTCGTATTGTTTTTATCTTTGGCATCCTTCCGGTATGTATCAACTGTGCAATACAAGGCAAGTTCGAGAGGTGAGATGTCCCCAAGTTTCCTAGTCCTCGACTCGAACGGTCGAACCTCTTTTGCGCCTTTATTCCAAGATGGAAGCCAATAGTTAGTTCGCAAGCATTCTTTGTGGAACACAGTCCAGTTCTCCGATCTCGTGCCTTTGGGAACACGAGCCAACGGACTCACACCCTTGCACTTGAGCAACCTTGTATTTGGAATCTTCACTTGTGAATCGTTTGTTGATTGTTTGGTTGCCTCGCACCCGGACACAGGAAGTTTCGTCAATCAAACGAGCGGCCTACATGAGCGGAGTTTCTCTAAGCAGCGAGAATCGGGGATCGCCTTTGCATGCTCTAGCGCTCCGTATTGTTGATGCCTCCGAAAGAGTATTTGAACTTTTAAATTGATTGCGATAGGTCCAAGCCCACCACAAGGATGCGGATCACCATAGGTGCCAAAATGAGGGAGCGTATCCAAAATTGACAAAACAACTGTCGCTCTATGAAACTTTGTATCTATCAGGAAAACCACTCTTCTTAAATGCCGTCGAGGTGTTATGAAGAGCATAGTGTATATTATCCTGGACATTTAGACATCCAGAAATAACCTGCAGACGAAAAAATAATACAGGGCACGTGGCGTAACCCCCGTCTTCATTTGGTTACCACATCTCGATTGCTTTTCCTCTCCCATACAGCTTCAACATCTTTCTTCTGTCGCACAATACTGGTTCGGCAACAGTCAGGCTGTCGAGATCGGTGCGAAGGACACGGCCCAATCCACTCCATTCTGGACAGTCATTCAAACATTCGCTACCTATACCCGTTTAGTTGCTTTCCTCTGTCGTATGGGTTTGCTTCCTCAGTCGCAAAACAGCACGATGGATCTAGTCAAGCTTGTCAGGTATGTTGCGTCATTGCGAAGTTGGACTAGTCCTCGTACCAGTTGTTCCACACCTTGCTCCTGCTTTCCCACACTCTCTTTGTCTACAGTCACGCAGGATCGGATGCACCTGAATCGCTTCTGTCTCCCTACCATCATCAGCTGTTTGTTCATCTGCTCAACCACATGTACGTACGTTCACATCCTTCGGTGGATGAGGATGTGGAAGAGTTGGATGAACAACTTCTGCACAAACCCACATTGAGTGAAGCTGTCTTGGATGCTGCCGTGACTGGGTCGATTGCCGCGGATTCCGGCGACTCCTCTGTGATGGACTATCGAAATGTGTGGTGGGAACAGGAGGAAGCCAGTGCAAGTGGCCCGTGGCTTGGCGAGAATCGTCAACCGTCGTATCCACCCAAACGTCTGCAGTCGGTGTGCGCCCTATGGCAGCTTCCCAGCAATCCGGCTGTGCTCAAGGCTCGCCTGGGTTTGTTGGGATTTTTGCTCTGTGACGCTACCGCCGCGGTCGCTTTGGTGCAGGAAACAGCGCCCCGGCCGACCGGCGATAGGAATCAGACTTCTCGAATGCTTGCTTTGAAGCTGGTGAGTCTCTTGATTGTGTCAGCCTTTTTTACTCGTGAACTTTGGTCTCTTTGTCCTTCGTCTGCCTCATTTAGGTCCGCTTTGTTTTAAACCCGACCTACCGCATCTTTCGCAATATAAGCGGGGCGAGAGAGCTCAAGTGGTTAGAGCGCGAATTTACTGACCGGAAGGTCCGTGGTTCGAACCCGACCTTCGCCTTTCGACTTCCCCTGTCTAGGCTTGAGCAACCTGGCAGTATCCCAGCCCTCGTCCAACATTCGAGTGGCATGTCAGCTAGGCACCGAAAAGGTGTTACAGCTGACTGGTTATCTTTTATCTTTAGACGCCCAAAAACGAGATTCGCCACCACGGTAACGGGTATTGGAACCCACCTATTCTGCATCAACGGAGTACAAATCGGCAAACGACCAGAAACAGTGGAAAAAAGTAAATTCGATTTGGTGGGGCTTTTGTTTGTTTCGACATCGCTTCAAGACAATGGGGCGGAATCCGGTTTGGCTTGAACTGGTACACTTGAGAAACCAGGCCCATACGGCGTGATGAACTTCCGAGATGTATCTATTCTATCATTGGTGCACGCCGGGTTGGTAAAGCATCAATTTTATATGGTACCTATATGCTAGTACGCATCTAACAAACGAGAACTACTAACGAAGGTTGATAGAGGAACTCTTGTGGGGTTGATGAAGAAATGTTGCTCAAGTAAAGATAGCATCCAAATGCACGACAAGGGAGCCAGCCGCTACTCAACCTAATACCAGTGATTCAGTATTCGTACTTGCCTAATAGATGCCCCATAGGAACCTCTGATGAATGTCCCGGAGACACTATGAAGTGAATTGAAAGACAATACACTTCAAGTGCTAAATAAAAGCCGGCGAATGTGGGAAAATGTTGATATCGGTCATCAATTTGGTGGATCCAGATCGGCATTGTTCGTCTGTCGAAATGCTGCCACATTCTCGCTCTTTGGTAGCACAGCCTTTAGTCGTCTAATCGATAACGTTTAGAAAGAGTCACGGACAACCCCGTGTTGGTAGTGGATGCATCTGATCAGTGACCGTTTGATAGCTGAAGAAATTTCGTGAAGAATTAGCTAACTTTAAAAATAAAAAATCGTTCAGCTGTAGCTTCCTTTCGGTGCTTAACTTTTTTTTTAAACATAAGCGTCCCAATAAGTTAACTGTGGAAACCACCCTAATCACCGGCCTACTTAGTTCAAAAGTTAGATTTTGTATGTGTTTCTTGAACTACATTCACGCTCATATATTTTTGACAGACGTGGCGTGAACGCAGTTCAACCGACTCGTCGAACCGTCATTCATGTGATGAAAATTTGGCAAAATATTTAGTCTTTTCTTTGATACGATCCCACCTATAAATGAAAAAATCGTTCAGTTCTAACACCCCATCCGGTACCTGCTGCCATGCTCCCCCGAAAGAAGCACGAGGGTTGGGATAGTGTCAGGTCGCCCAAGCCTAGACAGAGGAAGTCGAGAGGCAGAAGTCGATCTCTAACCACTTGAGCCATCTCGCCCCAATCCTACCCATAAGGTTGATGGAAATCTCTTAACATCCCACAACTAGTCCACGAACCTAAATGACGCGCTCGACTGTCAGTGTGAGTGATGAGTTCGCATCCCGAGGACTTCCATCACACATCTTACGATTTATTTAGTTCTCCCCTCAGTTGGGCGAATGGGGCTTCTACTCGACAGATTTCAGAGAACCTCGCACCACTGGCAACAATTTGGATTGCGACCGGTTCGTCAATCCTTCCATAGTCCTGTTTGTCCCAGGCCATCTCTGCATAAAGACCACCGTTGGGCAAATGAACAGTGCGTTTCTCTGTCGTCATGGTGAACCCTGTTTTTTCCTGACGCAACCGTCAGGAAAGTCAAGCTTTTTTCCATTGATTTAAATGACTCCATCCTCTGAATAGTTCGAATGAAGTCCTTTCGTTTATCACTCTTTGCCTTCTCTCTTCCTCTACACCTTTAGTGTCAACACGTAATGTCTCTGTTTGCCAAGGAGTTCCCAATCTGTCGACCGCTCTTGCCAACAATATTCGTCCTGTGGCTCATTGATCGAGGATTTTTCAAGGTTGGTTTCATGCTTCCAAACCCAAAGCATTTATTGAGAACAGTATCCATTTTCCATAGAATGACCGATTTTCCTTTGAGCACGTGACCAAATCTCTTCAATGAAGCAATCAATCACATGTGTTAGTACTCCCTTTTGGGATCAGGCTTGTATACCCAGAGGGCGAGAAGGCCTTTTTTTAAACAAATATATGCTCGCAAAGGTTTTAAAGGGTTGCTGCAAACTCTTCGACAGCCCACGACCGGTTTCGGCCTTCTTGGGGCTCATCCGATAGGCGAAGTTCCCGAGGTTGGTTCAACCTTATGTTCTACTTGAACAGATTTCGGTAGATACACCCATTTGCCTGTCAATTCGGTTTTCACAGGAGACTCAGCTGAATCTCTCGTTTATGTTCGAATCCCTGAACCTGAAGTAATGTGTGTATCAAGCTACAGTACGGGCTGTTTTGTTGTATGGCTGTGAGACTTGGCCTATTCGAGCAGCGGACTTGAGATGTCTTCAGGTGTTCGACAGTCGTTGTCTCAGAACCATAGCTCGTGTGGGTTGGTGTCAGCGAATCCGTAACGAGGCAGTTAGAAAGCGTGTTTTCGGTTGTGTAACGGGTACTTCCATTGAAGAATGTGTCCAGCACCAGAAGCTGCGTTGGTTGGGACATGTGTTGCGTATGCCGAACCATCGTTTGCCGAAGAGAGTGCTGTTTTCCATGCCCAATTCGGAGTGGCGTAAACAGAGAGGTGGCCAACCCTTGACTTGGCAGAGGAGTATGAAGGAGATCACGAAACGCTTGGGTGCTGTCGGTGCTACTCGCCTTCCAGGATGGGGACTGCGTGATCCTCACTGTGCCTGGTTGGAGACACTACAAGATATGGCTGCCAACCGATGTCAGTGGCGTTCTTGTTGTCAGTTTCT